AAATGAACTAACTTGGAATATTTTTTGAATTCTATAAAAAGAATTTAGACTACAAAGATAGACACCAAGCATTTATAATAATGCAGCTCTTGTTAAAAAATCAATCTTCAAACATCAACCTGTTTTGGATTGATTCCAAGAGCTGTCTAGACCAATCATTTATAATACTTTTATTGAAGTCTAAAGAAAATGCTGCCAGTGTTTATATGTACAACAATCTCATGTGGTATTACTGGATAAAGGAATACAAGTTAAACTTAATTCCCATTAAAATGTAGTTCATCCTATGTTGAAAGAATAAGCTTTGCTGCATCACTGTCTGAGAATTGATTGTCATGTCAACTTTGGTCTTGGCTAACAATTTTCTATTTAACTAATTTTCTATAGGTTTCAGTCTGCATGCATCCTTCAACAGAGACTTAAATGATTTTGGTGCTGAGTGTGACTTGCATTTATACATTACATTAACCAATACTTTTGTGTAAGGTGTGTCTAAAGTTTTTGCACATCAAAATCAACTATTTAAACATAACTTTATAAATTGATCTAAAACTAAATGCAATTTTTTTTTAAGTTACACACAACATCCATTATCCCATTGCCCCCTCCAAATCTTTAGACAACAGCAATATGTACATGCTTATATGGTAGATAAGATTCATAAGAAATCTGTAAAGTTCAATCCAAACAAAATATAAGCAAGAGTGCACAAGCTGAAATGTCTCACCTGTTTTACTACAAGTATCACATAAACTTTACATGATCAATGATCCATGAAATTGAAGTCACTGTCAGATGAACCATGCCAGACAGACATGTACATCTAATAAACATTCCATACATCAAATACAGTGGTCCTATCACTTATAGTACCTGAGAAGCACAAAATCTTAACATTGACTAATGAATCATGAAAATGAGGTCAAGGTAATATGAACCCTGCCAGACAGACATGTACATTTTACAATCATTTCATACACCAAATATAGTTGACTTATTGTTTATAGTAACTGATAAACTGACATAACCACAAAAAACCTATCATAGACCAATGAACCATGAAAATGAGGGCAAGGTCACATGAAACCTGCCAGACAGACATGTACACCTTACAATTATTCCATACACCAAATATACTTGACCTATCCTTTATAATATCTGAGAAATAGACCAAAACACAAAAACTAATCATTCTTCAATGAAACCTGCTGGTTGGACATGTACACCTTACAATCATTCCATATATCAAACATAGTGGCCAATAATGGTTATAGTATTTGATAAATAGACCAAACCACAAAAACTAAACATTGTCCAATGAATCATGAAATTGAGATCAAGGTCAGATGAAACCTGCCAGTCAGACATGTACACCCTATTACAATCATTCCATACACCTAATATAGTTGACCTACTGCCTATAGTATCTGAGATATGGACATGACCACATAACTTTTAACCTTGATCACTTATCCTTGAAATGAGGTCGAGGTCAGATGAACTCTACCTGACATACATGTAGACCTTGCAAGGAACCAATATACCAAATGTAGTTATCATATTACTCATAGTAATACTAGAGAGAATTTCAAGCAATCATTGAACCATAAAAATGAGGTCAAGGATAATGGACATATGACAGATGTAAACTTCCTAACATAAGGTATCTGCAAACAAGGTTTGAAGCATCCAGGTCTTCTAGCTTCTGAAATATAAAGCTTTATACAAATAGTTTAGGTCATAACCTGCGCCGCTGGATTGTAATCCCTATGTCTCGCATTCTGTGACTTACATCGCAGGTGAGACAAAATGCAGATCTTCATACACTGAAAACAATTTATCTGTACAAATTTGCACTGAGTGTTTGAAACTCATTACAAAAAACTATACATTTGATGAAGCCAGATGGTCAACATGATAATTTCTGATGACAAACATATAACATACATTCCTTTTCTACTTGTGTCTCAAGGGGTAAGATTTTTTTACGTACAAGGGATAGTAAATAGTATTTTAGAAAAAAAGTTTGTGGTTGTGAAAAATTGTTGACATTCACAATTTTGAGAAGTTATGTTCACGATAGGGGATAACTTTTGTGGGGAAGGAGAATTGGATCCACAGGGAAAAGGCAATAAGTCAAAAGTATTTAATGTATGCATCTGCTATTTATTTGCCAAAACTCAGTTATTTCACTGATTTCAAACAAGAGTGCACACGCTGAAATGTCTCGCCTCCTTTACCAACCATTGATATTATGTTGATAGTCCTAAATATAAAGCTTTACTACAACTATCAACCTTACAATCATTCAATACACTAAATATAGTTGACCTATTGCTTCTAGTTTCTAAGAAACAGACTTAACCAAGAAAACTAAACATTGACCAATGAACCATGAAAATGAGGTCAAGGTCAGATGACCCATGCCAGGCAGACATTTACACCTTACAATCAACCTATGCATTAAATATAGTTGACCTATTGCTTATAGTATCTAAGAAACAAACTTAACCACGAAAACTTAACATTGACCAATGAACCAACAAAATGAGGTCAAGGTCAGATGATACCTGCCAGACAGACATATACAGCTTACAATCCTTCTATACAAAAAATATAGTTGACCTGTTGCTTATAGTTTAAGAAAAACAGACCAAAACACAAAAACTTAACACTGAGCAATGAACCGTGAAAATGAGGTCAAGGTCATATAAAGCCTGCTAGACTGACATGTGCATCATAAAATATTTCCATACACCAAATTTAGTTGACCTATTGCATATAGTATTAGAAAAAAAGACCAAAACTCAAAAACTTAACTTTGACCACTGAACCATGAAAATGAGGTCAAGGTCAGATGACACCTGTCAGTTGCACATGTACACCTTACAATCATTTCATACACCAAATAAAGTAGACCTATTGCATACAGTATAAGAAAAACAGACCAAAACACAAAAACTTAACTATAACCACTGAACCATGAAAATGAGATCAAGGTCAAATGACACCTGCCAGTTGGACATGCACACCTTACAATCCTTCCATACACCAAATATACTAGACCTATTGCTTATAGTATCTGAGATATGGACTTGAAAACTTAATATTGTTCACTGATCCATAAAATGAGGTCGAGGTCAAGTGAAAACTGTATGACGGGCATGAGGACCTTGCAAGATAAGCACATACCAAATATAGTTATCCTATTTCTCATAGTAAGAGAGAAATTAACATTACAAAAAATCTTAACTTTTTTTTCAAGTAGTCACTGAACCTTGAAAATGAGGGCAAGGACAATGGACATGTGACAGACGGAAACTTCGTAACATAAGGCATCTATATGCAAAGTATGAAGCATCCAGGTCTTCCACCTTCTAAAATATAAAGCTTTTAAGAAGTTAATTAACGCCGCCGCCGCCGATTACTATCCCTATGTCGAGCTTTCTGCGAAAAGTCGCAGGCTCAACAAAAACAGAAAAAAATTGTTCCACATTGTGTCAGTGTTTGCTGGACCTTGACCTTTCTGTAAAAATGTCTGATGAATTAAGAAACTCTGTCCACTTTTTAATGCAATCATTACTATTCTTGTAATTTCAAAAACAAGTTACATAAAAATATAATATTTCTATTCTTATCTGAGAAAACAAGGGTAGGTTCATTGTGAATATCTGAGATTTTTGTTTAACTGCTGATCTCTGTTTAGAAATAAAAAAAGAATGTGTCTGAGGACACGAATGCCCCCGCTCAAGCTTTGCAATTTTCCAAGTTAAAAAGGGGCATAACTCTAGAACGGTAAATGACTCATAACCTAAATTTGAACTCTGTCTGCTAGTTTTGGTTCTTAGCATTGTGTATGAGTTTCATAAAATTTAGATGAGACAAACTCAAGTTAGTCTGTGGAAACGAAAATATTTGCAATTTCCAAGTTATACAGGGGCATAACTCTAGAACAGTAAGTGACACACTGCCAAAATTCAAACTCTGTCTGCTTGATTAGGTTCTTAGCATAGTGTATGAGTTTCATAAAATTTGCATGAAGCAAACTTGTTAGAGTGTGGAAATGAAAATGGGACGGACAGAAGGGCGGTCAAGGGTAAAACTTAATGCCCCCATTGCCTAAGGTGGGGGCATAAAAAGAAAAAATTATCATTCTACAAAACTGTATTTTATGACAAAATTAATTTCTGCAATTAATTTCTAAAGACCGCTAAATTGACAAAAACACTTGAGTAAACTGCATCTTTTATTGGTCGACATGTTTCGCCGATTTTATCGGCTTCTTCAGGACAAAGTATACAAAATGAGAATCCCTGAAGTACAAAAAAATAAATCAATGTGTAACATGAATGTAAGTATAATGTCAGTATACAGTTTCTACATAGTTTCTTCCTAATTTGGACGTCACTTTTAAGGCACATCCTTATCATTTTGACTGGCTTCCCTTTGGCCAGAGGTACTACTTCCAATTACGTCGGGAATGCCGTAAAGTAGCCTTCGCAAAATTTCGTTGCAATGTTGGTTTAACTGGAAATCATGTTGGGAAGGACTTATTTAGTAATTTCATTTGCATTGTACTATTTTTTATTCATTTTCTGTTCAACATTACATAATTACATAAAGTATCCTATAGCAACGTCAACAATAGACAATTATGACGTCACATACTCAATACCATTTTTTTGTACTTCAGGGATTCTCATTTTGTATACTTTGTCCTGAAGATGCCGATCTAATCGGCAAAACATGTTGACCAACAAAAGATGCAGTTTACTTAAGTGTTGTTGTCAATTTAGCGGTATTTAATTTTTTTTATCTGACAACCCTGCATACAATCTGGTATCCACTTAAGAGAACTCTACCAGCACAAAACATAGGAGGAGTCGGTTCAGCAGATCTTTATTTATTAATTTCTAAAGAGTAAAACAAAAAAGAAAAATTCCTTTACTAATAAATTTCACCACAAAAATTCAAATGTATGAAAATTAAGAATTTTTTACCTTTATTTCGTGTTTCATCTTCTGATTCTGAATCTGTTGTCTCCCCTTCTTCTGGGTCAACTGAAACAAAAATAAATTATAATAAAAATTTGGTAAAGCAAAGAATATTCATACTTTCAAAATATTTTTTCTAATTAAGACAAAATGACAGGAATAGATTTAAGTCTTAAAAAAAAAATAGACGTGAAGACTTTCCCATGTCAAAAACTTCTGAATGTCTAATTTGCGAACCATAGAGTATTGTTACCTACACGTTTTGAAAGCAACATGACATAGGGACAGGAACTGAACAGAAATTGTAAATACTAACTACTGTTATTGCAAATACAACTTAATAACCTAATTTTTATTTTACATGGATACTCTAGATTTGGGTGATTAAAGTCACCAAACTTTTTTTTTATTAATGAATAGTATTTACCATCAAATCCTAACTGTTGCTTCCATATCTCTGCCCTTGATGGTGAAGGAACTGGCTTGTTACCAACAATCCTAGGACTGTAAGTCATGGGAGTCTTAAACACAGGCTCTTGTCTCTGTCAAGATATTTAATGAAAATGTAAGCAGCAATTCTTATACATTATTAAAATATATACTAGTTATAATATAGACAAAAATTAAGCAGCTATTTTTTCAATAACATAATAAATCACTTTTCATATATTTTACTTTAAACTTTATCAAAAATTTGACTACAAATAAAGCTTAAAAATCTTTCAAATGTCAATGCAAGGGAAATAACTCTATTTTTACAATCGGCAACTTATCAGTCTTAATAGTATTATCATGAAAATTTGATTTACAAAATTATTATTCCCAAACTCAATCATATATATATGTAGGACTCAAATCTATGGCGGGTTCCAGATCTATGGCAGATTCCTAATCTATGGTAAATATGACGTCATGTCATCCCAAATCTATGGCAGTTTTTTTTAGAATCCTAATCTATGGCAACTTTTTAGTTTCCTAATCTATGGCAATTTTTTTAGTTTCCTAATCTATGGCGGATTTCTATATTTCAATTCTATGACAGATTTTCTGCAATGGTCGGACCAGTCAGTGCATATCTGACCAATGATTTCGAGGTCGAAATGTCCAAAGGTAGCAAAAAAGCTGCTTTTAAATAAAATCCAGTATTAGAAAAACAAATTAGGACTATTACTAGGAAGCATATACATAACCGTTGGTAAAATGAGCACAGACTGTAGGTTTGAAATCATGTGCCCCGGAAGAATACTTATTTCCTACTCTGTGTATACTAGTAGTACCTGTGTGACCCTCTAAAAAAATCCTTATTTCTCCAACAGTACAGTTTTTCGACATATTTAGAGCGGAAAACGATATTAATATCTATTAGAAATCTATATCATATTTATTTTTTCCAAATCTCAAGAAAGATTGTTTGCTACAATAGTACAGGTAGTCACTGTTATATAGCTGACAAAATACTTTATGTTGTGTTACTTCTTACAGAAAATTAAAGAGATCATAGGAATACAAAAAAATAGCATAAAAACACAAAACAGCAAACCAAAATGCACGGTAAAAGCTCGTACAATTAAGGGTGATGCCAACACCAGCAACACGAGAAGAAGAAAACAAGGGTAGAAACAAACACAATTTTGAATTATAATTTATTTATTAATTTTTATCCTTGCAAACTTGCTTTTCGATCTTTTTCTTTTCCTTTTGTATAACAAAACCGTCGTCGTCATCGGCAGCTTCAACGTTCCATGACGTTATTTAATTGTGACGGAAAATTACGTAGTATCCAAATCTGCCATAGATTTGGAGAAAACAAAATACTGCCATAGATTTGTGTTATGTTTGGCGTTTGTGACATCATATTTACCATAGATTAGGGATTTGCAGAAATTTGCCATAGATCTGGAACCCACCATAGATCTGAGTCCTACATATATATCTAGGGTAAATTTCACAGTCAGTACATGTGAATGCAGGGAAGTAAAATAAGAAATTGCAATATGCTGATGTTAACATTAAAATACATTTTTTTAACTGTGTGTATACGTAACAACCAGAAAAATACATAATTATATACTTGTTGAAATTTACTATTCACTGTTTATTGTAATCAAAGAAACTTTTATTCTAAAAATCACAGCGTTAATTCACAAGATCTGTAAACTGGAAATATCAGTATTGTTATACAAGACTTCCCAGGGCTAAAATTTCTAAAATATTGATATCCAACAAACTTTACCTTGTGCATAAACTAAATTTCTTACCTTAATCTTTGGTGTTTTATTCATCTTGAAAACTGCTTCTTTTTTCAAACTGTAAGAAAAATGATGTAAATGTGAAAATTCTATACGGATGTGTTCATCACTACATATACTATTCTCTGAACCTTTATGATATATGCTTTAGTTGAAAAAATAAAGGCTTTGGAAAAATCTAGAAAAAAAAAGAGTTGATTTAGAGCTGTTTTCCTAATGCTTGTAGTTTACAGGTTTGGTTGGCTTGCTTGCTTTGTCTGTATAAATGTTTGCTCAAGCATAGTAATTAAGATTGACATCTGCAATTAATAGATAGGCGGGGCTTCAGCTTGTATATATTATACTTAAATGTTATTGGGTATTAAGTATAATGCAGAGTATAATGTATACAAGCTGAAGAATGCTGGAGCAAACGTTTATACAAACAAAGCAAGCAAGCCAACCAAACCTTTAAACTACAAGCATTAGGAAAACAGCTCTAATTTCTAATACATTTTTCATAGAGTTAAACAGCCATGTGTTACAATACATTTCATATGAAAAAGCTAGACATCTTTGTCTTGTCAAAAAGTCATATTTCAAAAATTCTTGTGTCTCTTAAGGATGTACACCTCTGAGGAACCAAAAATTTCTAGAATTAAACTTTTTTTCTTAACCTGATTTTTGGGTTTATATGACTGTAAAAAAAAATTGGTGAAGAAAAAATCATATGGTGGTGCACTTCTTTTTTTGCTACGGCCATATGAAAGTACCCAATTTTGATGATTTTCTCATTTTTCATCAATTTTTGGGCTATTATCATGAAAAAAATCACAGTTTCACAATTAAACTTTTTTTCATACTTTCACTAAAGATAAAGTGGACCAATCTGAATAAATTTAACTTAAAAAAAAATATAGGTAGGTGTTAATATAAGAAAGTTTTATAAACTTTTGTTGCTTTTTTGGGTCAAATTTGCCATGCTGTCAATTTTGTAAAATTGGGATTTTTCTCTTTTTTTTTAGAACAAAAAGCATATTATTTCAACTTCTTTGTTATAAATGATTGAAAAAAAAAACATATCTAAGAAATTTGAAAAGAAAAAATTGATATGGGATGTACATGTTTCTGGTAAAATCATTTCTTGTACCCCTCACCCATTTTCTCAACATTTTGGCTAAAGAGACTGACTTGATTGGTTATGAAATTTGAAAATTGTATTACTCAAAAACTACTTATTGTAAATACACAATTTTTTCACAGATTTAAGTTTGATTATAATATTTTTTAAATTCATTGATATTTTCCACTTGTATCACATGTTTTGGAAATAATTCAAGAACGAGATTTCAAGAGACTGAAACGTCAGAAGAATACATCCTTAAACAAGTGCACAAAACTTTATATATTTTCCCAATATTGTGATGTGTTGCATATTATCCACTGGGAACTGGACGCTTTTTCCCTAGAAATGTTGTTATTTTTTGTGTCAGCTGTGTACATCCTTAAGTAAGTCAACAATAGTTTATATTTTAGTTCACTGAAATTTGCTATTTGTTTGTAACAAATGTTTTGAAATATTTCATTGATTTCAGATTAAATATTAACTCATGAACAACTAGAATAAAACTTATTTGGGGAAAAAAATATGTTTCAACACAGTTTTTAGACAAGTTTTGTTTTTGAAAAAAACAAAGAAAATTCTTTATCTATATAAATTTTTGGAAACCAGTTGCAATATCAATTTGAAAATCATTTCATTAATGATGTGATTTAACTGACAGAATATATAAATATATGTACAAAAAACTAACCTGATTTATAATACATGTAACTGTATCCTTTCACAATAAATTGGCGGGTATATTTTATATCAAAGAAAAATATAAGGAAGTTTTATTACAATTGGACATGTTTACAAGAAACGGTTACAATAATAAAAGTGACAACGAAGAAAATATTCACATACAAAAGAATGTATAATTATATTATTAACAGAAAACCCCAGGAGAACTTAGTCTTTGTAATGTTCAGAAACAGGCTAAACAAATTATGGACTTGACAATGAAATAATAACTGTGTATAACAAGACATAGTTCTACATATTGGTAATAAAGTAAAACCTATTATGTATACCCATCAAATCAATAGAACAAATAATGTTTGTTAAATACACTTCTCCAGTTGTTTAAATAAATATAATTTATATTGTTTAAAATAGAATTGAGATTTTAAATACATGTAGTTTATCATATTGCTGGTACTTATCAAATCTTAAATTTTCTTTGATGTTTATCAAATTTTAAAATTTTCTTTGATGTTTTTAACATTGTGAATACGGTACTTACATACTTGCATGTATGTATCTTATAATGTGTTAATCTTAATTACTAGCTACTGTTTATTTGCAAAAACAGATATATATATATATATATATATATATATATGAATAAAACCTCTAGATAATAGTCAACAATATTTCTTATGATGGGGCTGGATCGTTATGAAAGAAGATACTATACACATTAACCAAAGTATATATATATATATACGCCTTAAAAGTGTACAAAACAACACTAATATCAAAACTAAAGGCTCTAAAGAGCCTGTGTTGCTCACCTGCATCTTCAAAAATGGCAACTTTTCAGTAAAAATCATCATTAAAGGGGAATAACTCTATTAAGAGTTAACTGACAATTTCAGTCATGTTTACATATTTGTAGATCTTATCCTGCAGATAATTTTCCTTTTTAAAGTTTCTATTTATCTGTTATAGTTTTCAAGATAATAGGCTCAAAAAATGCAAAAAATTGTTGAAAAATAACATTAGAGGGCGATAACTCCAATAACGAGTCCACTGAAGATTTCAGCCATTATGGCTTATTTGTGGATCTTATCTTGCTGATCATTTGTGCTATTTAAAGTTTCTTTCTATCTATGACAGTATTCAAGATATAAGGAAAAAATGGGAAAAATTGTCATTAAAGGGCAATAACTTCAATGAGGAATCAACTAACAATTTCAGTCATGTTGACTTATTTTACATCTTGCCTTGCTGATCATTTTTGCTTTTTTAAGTTTCTATCTATCTAATATAGTTTTTAAGATATTAGGCAAAAACACAAAAAATTGGTAAAAATCATCATTATAGGGCAAATATTGGTAGATCTTGTCTTTCTGATCATTTTTACTATTTAAAGTTTCTGTTTATCTATTATAATTTTCGAGATAATAAGAAAAAATTTCAAAAAATGGTAAAATTCATCTTTTAAGGGTAATAACTCCTATAAGAAGTTGTCTGACAGTTTTGACTTACATGAACAATAGGTAGAGCTCAACATTCTGAACATTTTTACCCTGTCAGATTCTCTCTATTTATAGCTGTTCTCAAATTAATAGGCAAAACTTGCATTTACCCCTATGTTCTATTTTTAGCCATGTCGGCCGTCTTGGCCAGTCATCAGACACATTTTTTAAACTAGATACCCCAATGATCTTTGTGGCCAAGTTTGGTTAAATTTGGCCCAGTAGTTTCAGCGGAGAAGATTTTTGTAAAAGTTAACAGATGGCGGCGGACGATGGACGCAAAGTAATGAGAAAAGCTCACTTGGCCTTTTAGGCCAGGTAAGCTAAAAGGAACAGTAAATACAAGTTTCAATAAATATGCATGATATAAAATGATTCTTTATATATCAATCTTTTCTGATTTTACTAAATATATATACATGTATATAATTTTACTAAACATTTCAATTATAAGTAACAATAATTCCAGGATATTTAGACGGCCATTTTTTTTCCTCAGGAAATAAAACAGGCCTCAGTCTACAGGCTGACATATATCTGAAACACTGGATGAAGTTTAAATACTGTAGATGTAATAAATGAATATCATTTTCATGGATTTCATGGATGTAGGTGAACCACAAATTTAAATGTCGTACAAATTTCTTATAGACTATACCAAAACCACAAAATCAAATATTTACGAAAAAACTATTTCCTCAATCCACAAAAAATTGGTAAGGAAAATAAATGAAATACATTGAATATAACACTAAGGGTTACAGTGTTGCCCCCAGGGCCTTTAAGCATCATGGGAATGACCACAACTACCTTAAACCAAAACCATAACTTGATAAGGAATTGTAGGTGGGGCATTATAACAAATTAAATCATTTGTGTCATGAAAAAACACCATACAGAAGTTATGATAATTTGCATATAAGCTAATTTATAAATAGAAACATATATATTCTTGTTACTTACTGGTAAATAATGATCCAAAAAACTCACGAGTTAATCCTGAAAGCCACAAGTTAATCCTTACTGGATCTTAATCTCTTTCTACCTTAATCTTCTCAATGCATATCCCTGTTGTTTCTACAGTCTGTGAACATAAAAACTATAGATTTAAAGTGAACATAAAATTACAAACAAATTACTAAGATTAAAATAATTCAGCGCTTTTATTTCTATCTGTGAAATTTAGCAAAGGGTTTGGAATTAAATACATGTAGTATCAAGGTGACACATCCTCAAAGGTCACTAAGACAACAAAATGCTTACTTGCATAAAATACTTTTGTATAAAATTTACAAGATACATGTCCCTATCATAATTGTGCAATGATTCAAGGCATCTATTGTTCCGAGGTAAATGCATGTAAAGAGATATGCATTTTTTTATTGACACCTAAAATTTTGTAATAGTAAAGGTTATGGGTAATGTCCCTTAATGTTATAGTCACATAATTCATACTAATGCTAAAACTCATAAGTTCTGATTTTGTGGTTCTTCAAAACCATATTTTAATCATATAAATGTTAATAATCCATTGATACTTGGTATATGAAAAACTGAAATCCTAAATTTTAAGTATCCACAAAACAACCAAAAAAAAACCAAAAAATAATCCAAAAACAAAAGTACATTGACAGAAGTTTGTTCATGCACAAATTAATGAAATAGTTGCCACTGGACATTAAGGAAATAACCATCAATTAAATCAATCAATCATAACTTTATAGAATACATGTAATTGAAATGTACAGTTAAATTCATTATGTTGCATGTCGAATATAACACTATTTTTCCCTAAAACAGAGATAATTCATTTGCATAAAAATACAAACACTATTTTTGCACACACAAAAGAAAAGTGAAAAAACAAGAATCAACAAAAACATCATAGAAGTTTAGTAGACTCAACCAGTCCCAATCCTTAATTATTGGGGGATTCTTGAATTTCTGAACAAGCACTGACTGTAAAAGCCAGTGTGTCACAGCATGTACATGTATTCCTTATAAAAATAGTTCAATCTTTTTTTAACAACTTCAAATTTTCATAGTTAAAACAAATGATTTATTCTATTCATCATAATACAATAAATCTATTTTCAGCGGGAAGAAGCAGGTAAACAAAATTAGGAGTTTTCCTCAGTTAGTCCTTGCATTAATCATTTTAATACATGTGAAATGAAGCAACTTTACCTCTATCTTAATGTATAAATAATCCATTTACCACCTAATACATTTTGTGTGATACCTAAAAATTCACTCTAACCATAAATATACCCTATTTTATTAACCTAAACAATTAAAATATCATAAAACCAATCCCAAATAAGATGTCAATTCAATCTACTGGGTTAAAATCTACACCTCATTCTACATTGATTAAATAAATAAATTGCCATATTAAACAGTAATTTAATAACTTTACTTTAGATCTTTATCACTTTACCCTCATGAATGTAAATACCCAATAATGAAGACCACATTACTTCAAAAATACTAAGTTCAAAAAGGTAATTTAATAGGTGAGTGTTGAAAAAATCAAACTTTAAAAATATTTAGTTCTTAAATAGATGAGTTAAGTAAATAAAGGCCCTTGAAAGCTTTTGAGTCAAAAATCACTAGAAAGGTTGCATTCATTATTTAAATATAATTGATGACAAAAAATAATCTCCCAAAGTACTTTTATTCAATTTATGTGGGAAGGTACTTTGAAATTCCTAAGAAAAGTATTTTAAATCTGTCATCAAGATGATATAAAGAATGTATGTACATCAATGGTTGTCTTCAGAAATCTCTTTGCTTTTTTTTTTGGTCTTTCGATTTTTTTTTTAAACTATTTAAACATTTGGAACATGTATTGATTGCAGATTTTTAATAGGATATGTTAAATTTATTATCAACAATGTAACAAATGAAATAATGCATTCAATCTGAAACAGAACTTTTGAGTGACTATCTTAAACATCAATACAACAACACTCATACGTTGCCATAGGTTACTTATTTATTTAAATGTATGGTCTACACTAAGATAGTACTACCACTTTCTAATGGACATGGTGCCTTGACAAATCATTTAGGATGGCCTAATGCTGATTAAGATATGTTGACTTCTATGCTTTTGGTATTTTTGACGAAAAAGACCTGTTTTGATATAGTATGTATACTAGACATCTGTCTATTGTTGAAGATAATCTCTTTTTACCTAATATATTCTAGTCATTTTACACAGGCAAAAATAGGCAAATCAATGCTAAAAATATCATACCAGTATATATATATATAGGGATAATAGCATGTCCTTTACAATATAAAATGGCCCTTGTATCATGCCCAGACTCCAACATCAGCAGGTTATACACATGTCACATGATAACCGTTTATTTGCCCGAGTAATGATACAGCAAGGGCAATAGTGTGGCTATTACATACATGTATACACAATTTCTTGGTTAAGGGACAAACATGTTATAAACTGATCTATTAGAAATGTTATGTAATGTTGTATAAACTATCAAGGAAGTTCTATTGTGTGCTGCATTCATTTCACCGACATTGAATTATAAATTTTCAGGATGTATGCAACTAAAGCTAAACGTTCTCATATTTGTTAGAAAAGTCTTATGACATTAGTAAATAATCATGCTATAGAAATTTGAATGAGCCTGTTTGTCACGGTTTTCAATAAAATGTAAACTGGATTACTGCAAGTAAGGCAACATGTATAAAGCAAAATCCTGTGCACCAAATTCCTTGTCCCACCCAGTCTTTCAACTGAAGTACTTGTCTATATCTATTTGTGAATGTTTTGTTCAGACGTCAAATTCCTAAGCATAATACTGTTGTGAGAATTTTGCTTAAAACATCAAAACAATAGTCATTTTGTGAAATGAAATTGCTCTGTTGATACCAAATATTTAATACAGGATGAATACAATTTAAAAACCCCAGTCCCTAATATTTTGAAAAATATATATCTTTCATTACAAGTATTCCAAACCAACTAGATGTATCTACATCAGGTATTTATAATGTCTTTGGTCAGGTTGTTGTCTCTTTGACACATTCCCCGTATCCATTCTCTATTCTATAATATATACTTATATCAGGTTTAAGGTTTTTGAGGATAAAAGAATGCAAAAATGGAAATTTACTTAACTAAACAAAGACCATTTTACAGTGATTATATACAAACAATGAATACCTGACTTGAATAGTTTCTCCCAAACAACCACTTTAGAATCCTGTTTCCCTTTTATCAATACAAATCACAATTTGACAGATTTAAAATTTTATGATATTGATCTGCAGATTACCACTGATCAAATAGATAAATTTTTACCTACGTTTTCTTGTGAATTTGTAAATCCTTGTCATATGCACTCAAACAATTTTGTCTAATCATTCCACATTATTCCTAATAGAATCTGTGTTGATCTTTCTGAAACCTACAATGAAACAATAGATTGTATATGAACCATGAAATACTTAAATATCTTATCATTTTTCATTGATTATACCTTTTTAAAAACACAATGCATGCGAGTGTCAACATTAAACCATGAGTCAGGCTTTTGCAACAAATTCAAACATGTGCAAATACATAATATAAACATTCAAACAACGTTTCTGTTTTAATCTTAAATATATACATGTAGTTTAATAAAAAAAAAATATCAACTTAAAAGAAAAATACATCTATATCATATATATCATGTATATATAAAACATATATAGTTAAAATGCATGTATATATATCATATATTAATATATAAATATATACTAAAAGCTAAAGCAAAAAGTACCTGGTGAGAATTTTTTTGACAGGGTATAAATTCAAAATCTGAGTAGAAAATCGGCTTTAAAAACCATACAATCCATGTTCAATGAATAAAAGAACGCTAAATCAAATGAAAACAACAACACAGATGGTAACCTAATTTAAAAGTTTGATTACTTCCAATCACTTGCGATCAATAAAGAATTGATAATATTGACATTTACATAAGTATGTCTTACCTATAATGTCCAGCAAAAGTTCATATAAATACCAATAAAATCTCACATTTTTTGTGCCATATCACAAATATTGAATTATCCATGCATTGAGATTTAAATGATATGAAGTAACACAATACAAAGTATTTAAACAAGATTTACAACACCACATGCTTAAAATGGTTACATTAAATCTTATTCAGAACTTTAATTCAACAATGACAGGAAAATGTTCTGATTTGTAAGACATTAGAATTGTCTATCTGCTTTGAAAAAAAGAAGATTAAATAAATTTTAAACATGGACCAATCCTAATTAGTAAGTGACCGTATTCTCTATAATGATGTATACAATGGTTATTCTACTAATAATAACTATATATAATAAAAAAATATTTTAAATCCCAGAAACGTTCCAGGGTCTTCAGAGAAGATTAACCTGATAGTATATCAAAATATATATATATTTTTGATACTCAAACTAAATAGATAAATCATTTTTCAGAGAACGTTTACAAATTTTCTGGTCCATTCCCCTTTTGTTTTAAAAAATCATGAATGCCCAACTGAGATTGTTCGCAATTTAATATCCCAATCTGAACATGATGAAGGTATAATGGTCTTTAGTATCAACATCTTTACATTCATTGGTAAGCATGTAAAGCAACTCAATTCTTTAGTGCATCCTGTGAATCCTAGACCTGCAGTACGCAGTATTGGGCAAGTTTTTGTACAAAAAAGAGTCAATAAACTGAATTTTATAATTAGATGAACAAGAAGAAATTTTCACCTTTTCATGTACTAGCAAAGGAGGAGGTTCGATAAGGCCCAAAAATGGCCCTAATTCTATCTGAAATTCGAAATTAGGATTTATTGACCAATGTCACAAGGAATCATAGGTAATATGACTAGATTGGAAAAACGTCTTTTTGTTGAAAAGGACAAGGTACGATAAGCACCCATTTTGGCCCCCTTATTTTCTCATTTTTCAAATTTTGTTTTGGAAAGCTACTTATAACATCAAATATTCACTGAGGTTTAAAGTTTGTTTGGATGAACTTAATTTCAGCAACTGGGTGAGGTGAGGGGGGTAAACTTTCCGTTATCATTCAGATATTGTAATTATTATTGATTTTGGAGGTGTTCCGTACAACAAATTTTTAGTTTTTAAGTGCCTGCGCCAACGTGACCCATGAATTTGTTTATTCCAATGTCGTTATCACTGTTTTTGCTGTCTAGATTGCCAAAATTTTCCGCGGTCACGTAGGAGCACGCTATTAAATTTTTAGAAACACAGGCCAAAAATCGTAATTTTTCTTACTTTTGGCGTTTTTGATGTCCTTTTACCCCCATCACCTCACCTAGTTGCTGAAATTAATGATTTTGAAGTTCATCTAAACAAACTTCAAATCTAAGGGAATATTTCAACATAATGAGTAGCTTTCCAAAACAAAATTTGAAAAATGAGAAAATAGGGGGCCAAAACAGGGGCTTATCGTATCTTGCCCTTTATGTTTTTGCGTTCTATTCATGACGTCACAAATAGCATGCATTTTGATTTTCAGTGAAAATTCGATGAAAACAGGTAAATTTACATTGATTTTTTGGAAAGGAAACATAGAGTGCACGCGTCGACAACAAAGAAATTTTAGCCTAATGTTTATTATGAAATTTTACATATCTGACTTGAATATTTTGTTTGTCGACGCCTGCGCTCTATGTTTCCTAGGTCTTTATTTGGTTGAAATTCGAACAATTTTGTCTAATGTCGCAAAAATCTATTTTTAACCTATTTGGGATGTAAAAATCAATGCTTGAAAATAAAACTTTGGCAAAAATAGTTTTATTTAATTTTCTCACATGTCTTTTCATCAACTTAAAACATGTTTTATCCTGAAACTTTGAACTTAATAATCAGGCCAAATCTTGCCCTTACCCAACTTACTTCTTTAGACATGTAACTATATAGTCAGTAAAGGTTACTAAATGAAAGAAAAAAAAAACCCAACAAAATTCTATAAATTTTCTATTGGATTTCTTGAAAAGGTTTTCTAGCTTCAGTTTTGATTTTCCTTTTCCTAATAATGGACAAAATTTGGGTCCAAACATTTGATGAAAGCAAGAATCTTCTAAATCATTTTTATACATTAAAATGAATCTCAAGTAATACTAGTTAATTTCAAAATGAATCTTCTATTATCGAGTCCAGACGCTGAATCTCAAAGATCTATTAATTTCAAAATTATTTATGGTATTTTAAGTTTGTATATATAATAAAATTCTTAAGGGGTTCCACGGAACCCTGTGTCTCGCCTGCGATTGCTGCTGTCAGTGTTAAACTGTAATGTTGACTTAAAAAGTGAGTCCATTTATCAGTAAAATACAGAATTAAAAAAAAATCAAACTTTTTTATTAAGATGTTATTTCTTAGTCTGGAAGATTAGCTTCTGTCCAAGTTTCATAACAATCCATGAAGGTTTACAAATTTACCATGACAAAAATTTTAATCCCAGGCTGTCTGTAAATGTTAACTAAAAACATAGTCCATCTATCAGAAAATACTAAAAATGAAAAAAATATATTTTCAAAGGTTTGTTATAGACATTATCTCTTAATTATCAAAAAGCTTCTTCAAAAGTTTCATAAAACTCTATGAAGGTTTGACTAAGTAATTGAAGTGTAACAAACTTTTAACCCCAGACTGTATCTCCTTGTTAACTATAAAAAAAACTAAGTCCATTTATCAGTAAAATACGGAAAAATGAAAATAAATATTTTCCAAATTTTTTTCTGGATACTGTATTTTGGTCATAAACAAGCTTCTGTCCAAATTTCATAAATTTCCATAAAGGTTTGACAATTTTAAAGTTATGATGACTGAAAAACTTTAACTTCAGACTGAGCCTGAGTGTTAACTGTAAAATAACTAAGTCCATTTATCAGTAAAATACGGAGTAAAAAAGAAAATAAATATTTCCAAAATTTTGCTCTGGATACTGCATTTTGCTCATAAACAAGCTTCTGTCCAAATTTCATAAAATTCCCTAAAGGTTTGACAAAGTTATTGATGACTGAAAAACTTTAACCTCAGGCTAAATCTGAGTGTTAACTGTAAAAAAACTAAGTCCATTTATTAGTAAAAAATGGAAAAATGAAAATAAATATTTTCAAAATTTTGCTCTGGATACTGTCTTTTGCTCATAAACAAGCTTCTGTCCAAATTTCATAAAATTCCCTAAAGGTTTGACAAAGTTATTGATGACTAAAAAACTTTAACCTCAGACTAAATCTGAGTGTTAACTGTAAAAAAACTAAGTCCATTTATTAGGAAAATATGAAAAATTGAAAATAAATATTTTCAAAATTTTGCTCTGGATACTGTCTTTTGCTCATAAACAAGCTTCTGTCCAAATTTCATAAAATTCCCTAAAGGTTTGACAAATTAATTGATGACTGAAAAACTTTAACCTCAGACTAAATCTGAGTGTTAACTGTAAAAAAACTAAGTCCATTTATTAGGAAAATATGAAAAATTGAAAATAAATATTTTCAAAATTTTGCTCTGGATACTGTCTTTTGCTCATAAACAAGCTTCTGTCCAAATTTCATAAAATTCCCTAAAGGTTTGACAAAGTTATTGATGACTAAAAAAACTTTAACTACAGACTGAACCTAAATGTTGACGTTGCTGACTAAGGAATCTAGGATCGCTTATAATATCTCGCTTTTGCGAAATAAATTTTGCAGGCTCAACAAAATTGGGCCATAAATGTTAATGTTCAATCGTTTAAAAAAGTGATCAGTATTAACAACAAAAAAAAGCTAACATTTGTTCTACAGGGAGTTTAATATAAATTCATTGGGCTGAAGAGAATGTGACAGGATACACATTGCTCATGAATAATTTGCCTACTAGAAAAGAACTTATATATTAATGAAAAAAAAACTCAGTTCAAAGTACACAAAGCTTACCTTGAAAGAAATATATGTACTGTATGTTTTTAATGTTAACTGCATCTGACAATCATGTTAACCAGAATCAATACCTTCTCCTTAGAGACAGTTTACAAATTCAGGTAAAACACATTAAACTAAACCAGAGAAATCTGATAGTGTGTCCCTAACATCAATCCATTAATTAAAGTACCGTAATTGACTTGTATTCTCTGGCTATTGAATTTTCAATTATAAATTCTCAATCAAAATTATGCAATGAAAACTGAATGTGTGTTGAAGCTGCATTGTATCATTGTTGCATAATCTTGATTTTCGAAAGCATTTGATTACAAATTACAAAACGTTTTATGCATTGCTGAATTCTATAATGTAGGATTATATGTAAATCTACCCTTTAAACAAAATGACTCCTCCAAGAAACTTTTAAGATGACGATATTTATTCACAGGGCCAGACAAGATTGTGGTGTAAACATATTTATATTCCTATCAGGTTATTTAATATTATAAAGTTTTCAGCAATTTCCTATACAATGTTGGTGCATTATATATAGTAAAAACTGAATTTATTTGATCAGTTATACAAAGTGCTATTATGTTGAAAAATGAGACAGCAATCCAACTACACAATGAAACCAGAAAAGGCCACTCGTTTAAAGAGTAAAGGTCAAAATACTGTATTCAACAATAGACAGGTGTCTATTAAATACAATTATGTTATAGATAATGCACCCGAGGTGTGTTATAGGACATGAAAACCCTTAAAATATGCATTATCTGACTTATATACCATAAAAAAATATCATTTTCTGCAAGGATTTGTATAGTAAGTCTTACTATACAAATCCTTGTTTTCTGCAAATTTGCAGGATTTGCATCCTATTTTACGGACCACATTAAAGTGGTATATTCTTTTCTGATGCGTTCAGGTTTAAATACGCCCTACGGCTCATTTATAATGTGAAATAAAACTCACTAATTGATTTAGAAATAAACTTTGGAAATCGTTATCCAGTTACAAAAATCGTTATCCAGTTACAATAAAAGTATAACTATAACTGCATGAAGCAAGACACAAATGAATTGTTACGGTTTAATTAATTGTATCAACTTAATTTATGCTGTGTTTTTTTTCTTTTTTTTTCATGAAAATTTTAGTCCGGAAAA